TGAAACTCGGCTCGACCCATAGGCCCAGCCCATCGGCCCACTCGAGGATCGACCTGAGGTTCGGCTCACCCAAGGCCTAGTATTTTTTTTAGTGGAAAATAATAAAATTTTTGTAGAAAAAATAAAATAAAAAGAAACAAAAAAATTTATTCAGGCCCGCCTCAAGCTCGAGCCCAAGCCCACCGACCTGGTTCGAGGCCCAGCCAACTGGCCCGTCCAAGGGAATACAGGCTTGGGCTTGAGACTGGGCCTAAGTTTCTGGCCTGTGGACCGGCCCATCCCCTGTCGGGTCTCGTGGGCTCCCGTCAAAATTCGAGCCAGGCTGGATCAAATTTACACCCCTAACTAGAAACGTAGAGAGTTGATTGTCACGATTTCATAAATATAAGGAGTTAAATGTCACGATTTTATTTTTAAAAATTAAAATGGAATTTGACCAAAAATGTAGACAATTGACTATTACGATTTTATGTGTAAACTCAAAATCAATGGCATTAGGACACCACTAGATTCACAATAGTATGGGGTACATACCCAATTCATTCCCGACCAATCAATGCAATTCAGACCATGTCAACCAATAGAAAGGCACATATATTACCAATAAATAGTCAACATTTTCTTCGCAACTTAAACATTGAGGGCACGAATTAGGGTTAATGCTAAGGTGAGATTTTTATTAATTTTTAATTTTAAGTAGAGTACTTGAGTTTTGAAGTGTTACCTAGAAAAATATTTATACTTTGTAAGGAGTTGCAATATTTCTTGGTAAGATGAGACTGCATATTATTACCTTAAAAAAAAAGATGAGACTGCATATGAACCAGCCAAATTTTAATGGTACAGATCATTTATGTAAAAATTTTTACTAAAGAATTTAGCAGACATAATTAATAAGTGCCCATGTTTTATAGGAGTACCAACTAGATAATTTCTACATGAGAGAGGATGTAATTTCTATTTTAGTACAATTTTGGATAAGCGGCACAACTCCCACAAAATTCAACAAGTTTGAGCCCAATTTCTTAAAGCTCATTTTAAATCTAAGCCTGAAGTAAGATGGGCTCTGGCCCATGGTGATTTATGCTTGTTATCACTTTAATAGATAATTGTAATAATATTCATCAATTCAACAATTTTAATTGTGATTGCAATTTTAATTTTTGGATTGAAAATTTCATTTTGTTGCTCTCTAAAGGCTTTTTTGTGTAGATAAGCCATCTTCTAACTTTTAACCTATTTTGAGTCATATCATCTCTCACATTTTTCACATATTTTTTTCAAAACAAGTCAAAAAAAAGTTAATTTTTAATCATTTTCTCAAAACAATCCAATCATGTTAGTCCTAAATGGAAATGAAATTCAAGAGTCATGATACGTTAGAGCGATTACCTGAAGCGATAGAGTTAGCGTTTGAAAGTTGAAAGGTGAAATGATTATTATACTATAATTTTTTGTAAAATTAAATCTCAATCATCAAAACTCACTTGATCAAACTAGAAATTGAATCCCATTCCTAACACAACTAGTAAGCGATTTCACCCATTAGACTAGTCGACATCTTATTTGCAAAACAAATGGCGTTCTTGTTCATGATCTTTGGGTAGCTCAACTCCTCATATATTATATTACTATAAGGATTTTTCTAACCACCATGACAACTTTCACTTGTTGAGAAGATCTATTCCTTTATATATCTTTGGCTTTACACGCACATCTTGTGCCATGTGTGAAAACTACAAGGCCAGTTTTTTCTCCCTTTCAAAGTGTTCTATTTAAATTTTTTATTTTAATTTTTTGCATTCTAGAAGTCAAAAGAAAATGACCCCATAGTGAAAGAGTCAAACTAGGTGGTGTTTGGGAAGAGTTTTTTTTTTATTATTTTTTTTGTTAGTTTTTTTGCTAAAAGATAAAATAGGTTAAAAAATAAAAAAATAAAAACAAATTCATATAAAATATCACATCAAACTTATAATCATTTTACTTTTTCTCTCACAAACATCACATTCAACTACAAAAAAATCCAACTATCTTCCCAAACGCAAAAAAAAATTTCCTCCAAAACTAATCAAAAACTAAAAAAAACCTACTAAAATAACAACTTTTCAAACACCCACTATGTACACACAAGAAAATTTAAGGTACAAAGGAGCTAATTCTCGCTGGCAAGAAAAAAAAAAACCTTAATTCTTAGGTTATGTTTGAATTAATGATTTTATCAAGAATTTGCGTAGAAAAATAAAATTAGAATGAATGAAATATAATTTTTTTTATTTTATAAAATCACTCTTTTAAATTTTTTATTTTATTTTATAAATTTAAACCCACCCAAAATAAATAAATAAATATCAGAAGAGACTTGTGCAAAGACGTTTTCAATCTGTCACTTGAAATTTGCAAACGGCCTTTTCCATTTTGGATGTTATTTTAATAATTTTTTTATTTTTATCTTTTTAAAATAAAATAGTGATGTGATAATTTATATATATATTTTTTAATTTTTTTAACTAAAATATTTAGCCCCCAAACGATTCAACTAGGGGCTGGAGAATGGCCCACCTAGCCACATGGACTTATGATATTCATCCACATGTAATATTATGATGATGATAATATATTATCAATGTATTAATTTAATCAAAAATGTTTGAGGGTCACAATTTTTGTGGCCACAATGGTTCAAAACTGTCAAAACGACGTCGTTTTGAGTGCAAAACATGCCAAAACGACGTCGTTTTGACAATTTTGAGCCATTGTGGCCACAAAAATTGTGGCCCTCTAGCATTGTTGTAATTTAATTTAGGGTTAATTACATTTTCAATCTCCAAAATATGAATGCCCTGCCATTTTGATCTCTAATATTTAGATTGTGTCAATTTAATTTTCAATGTATAAAAACATTTTAATTTAATTCTAAAAAAAAAAAAAAAAAGGAAAAAAGAAAGGAAAAAAGAAAACAGTTTCCAAAAATGGAAATTAGGGGCATTAGGGGCAAATTTTTTAGGGCCACCAATCATTTTCCTATAATTACATTTTCAATCTCCAAAATATGAATGCCCTGCCATTTTGATCTCTAATATTTAGATTGTGTCAATTTAATTTTCAATGTATAAAAACATTTTAATTTAATTCTTAATATTTAAATTATGTCAATCTAATCCCTAATTAAAAAACAAAAAATGTCTGACTTTGTTACTAAAAAGTGTGGGAAATCCTATGGGTGCACACTATATGCACCCTATCATATAAAAATGTCTAATTTTATCATAAAATTTCGTAACATCAACTATAAAATACATAATTTCATTACAAATTGACGTAACAAAATGTTCAAAATTTAGTGGCTGATGTTGCAAAAGTTTGTGATTTGGTTACGATATTTTTTGTTACGCCAATTTGTAGCGAGATTACTCATTTTGTGGTTGATGTTACAAAATTTTATGATAAAATTACATTTTTTATGGTAGGGTGCATTCCCTAAAAGTGTTTCAATCACCAATATTTAAGTTGTGTCAATATGGTCTAAAATGTATAAAAAATGTTTTAATTTAGTCACCTAATATTTATTTAAATTGTATTAATCTAGTCTCCAATGTATAAAGGCCATGTATAATTGCCGGATTCTTTTTAATGGTATTAGATATGATGACATTATAGAAAGGCTTACAAGAGATAAGTTTATACCACGGAATTAGATAAGATGAATGATTGGATATATGATAGGACCATGGATATAATTATTAGAGATAAGTTATATCATGAGATAAATGATATTATAGAAGGAGTGATGAAATAAAAAATGTTCGGTTATGATGAAATAAAAAATATAATTTTTTTTGGTAAATTACACTAACATCCACTGAGATTTAGAAAAAATATAGTAAATCATACAATTTTGACATAATTCCATTAAGCTCTCTTGAGATTTTAATTTATATAATAATTAGTCCCTATTCATCAATAATTTGTGAGTTATATAGATGAAAAAGTGATGTTTTCATATCTTTTACACAAAAATGTATATTTTACATTGCTTATTTTTATGTTTTTGCATAATCTGAATTAATTTCGATTCATTTAACTTTACTAAAAGGAAAATCAGTGTAACTGTGTCAAAATTATAGGGCTTACTGCATTTTCTTCGAGCTTCAGGAGAGATCAATGTTATTTACCCAATTCTTTTTGACAATTAGATCAAGGGAAAAAATAATCTAGAGTGGTCTAATCTTTCTAATACAACACTACCTATGGTATTATTTAATCCTTCTATTTTTCTCTATTTAATCTTCCATATCATTATTAAAATTATTCGGAGTTTAGTACCATATAAAAAAAATACTGAATTTGACTATCTGGTGAGACTCACATGTTCCTCATCTACAATCCTTTCCTCCTTGTTTTGTAATTAAATACCAAACTAACAATTCAATGGATCCCGTATGTTTCCCTTACTTTCAATCTCACTAATAGTAAAATAATCAAATATGCTCGTAAAGTATTTATTCAATATTTCAATTGCATTTATTAACGATAGGACTCTTATATTCCTATATTAACATTCATATAATATTTTTGTACACATTATCTGGAATTGAATAGGTGTATTAAATTTTTGCCAAAGGAAAAAAAATTAATAAAAAAATATTTGAAACACCTAATTTATCATTCTTAAAAACATTTTTAATGATATATATGATAAATGTCAAATTTTAATTTTATCATTGAGGTCTAATCTCCCTACCACATCATTATTAGTATTGTGGGATTCTATGTATGTATGTCCTTGCATGACGGAGCATCCCACAAAATTGGACTATATGAAAAAATGCACATTGGAGTTTACAAATAACATTTGTTACTTTCTTATACTATCAATTTCACTTCTATCACTATGTTCCATTAGGTTTTTTTTGTCCATTTTAAACCGGCCAAGGTCGGCTGGCATGACATTTGAATGACCAAAGTGACCTCAATCATGTTTAAAAAGTAGAACACTTCCCTTTGGCAAAGTATCCCAAAGAAAAACTAAAATCTTTTTGGAATCCCACAAAGGAAAATCAAATGGGATCATCCTTGTGTTGCTGTTGCTGTGGATCTGAGAAAGTTGATGACAGGTATGTCAATGTTTTTTTTTATTTTTTATTTTTTTTTCATACTTGATTTTTTGTGTTTAATTTGTTTGGATGTTGAATATAGGATGGCAATTGGAGGAGGTAACACCCAATGGAGAATATTTACCTACAAGGAGTTGCATACAGCTACCAATGGATTCAGTGAGGATAACAAGCTTGGTGAAGGAGGGTTTGGAAGTGTTTATTGGGGAAAAACTTCAGATGGCCTTCAGGTAACCATGTCATGGGCGATTTTATTATGAGTAATGATATAGTAGAGTTAGATCTTATTATTTCAAATCGAAAAATCTAGAATAGTCTAATATTTAAAAAATGTCATTGTCACATAATTTTGATTGAGTATTATGTATAAATCTTCTCGAAAAGGAATTGGGGTAATTGTTGTATCAAAATGCTATTGTGCTCTATGGTGGGCCAATCATGAGCCTATTTTCATGATCTGAACTGTTTACCTTTTAGAATTCATTAATTAGATTATGCATACAAAAAATTAGGTTAATTTATTTTAAAAGATCATGGCACATTTGATTTTGATAACAAATTGTCCGTTTTGTAAAGACAAATGTGATATAATCATGTAGCAACCGATGGCCCACCAACCAAAATTTTTGCATGCATAAGCTGCTCGACAAATGTTACAAAATGAATAGTTCAAATCGTAAAATTAGATAGAGTGTCTATATAAGAGCAGCATTCACAAAATTATTGAAGCCAACTAACCCATCTCAATCGGCTGTGTAGCAAACAAGATCGCTCCATCCATCCCTTTTGCCAATACTAACTTTCAACACATTTGGTTTTGTGTTTTGGATGTTTTTTATATTTGTAGATAGCAGTGAAGAAGTTGAAATCTATGAATTCAAAAGCAGAGATGGAATTTGCAGTGGAAGTAGAAGTACTAGGGAGGGTAAGGCACAAGAACTTGTTGGGTCTGAGAGGGTATTGTGCAGGGGGTGCTGATCAAAGACTCATAGTGTATGATTACATGCCCAATCTGAGCTTGCTTTCTCATCTCCATGGTCAATTTGCTGGTGAAGTTCAGATTGATTGGAAAAAAAGAATCAACATTGCAATTGGCTCTGCTGAAGGACTCTTGTATGCTCTTCTCATTCTTACCTTAAAACATTTTACATTAATTCAATTTAGTCTATTGATGACGTTTTTAAAATTGGACTGAAATCACAGGGTGAAATAATATATTCACTCTCCGCAAAGTGATTAAGAGGTTGACATCTAATTTGAAATAGTTGATTCCCTTTTAAATGAACCTTTTTTTTTTTTTTTTTGTTTGATTTTTATTTCATTTGTCAATTTGATTAAATTGATACAATATGAGAAATTAAAGGACCAAATTGATACAATTAAAAAGGACAAATTACACTAACAGTCCCTATAGTTTGGGACTTGTGTCACTTTAATCTCTTACCTTTCAATTGTGACATTTTTTACCCTGAATTTTGAATCTTGTTCCAAATAAGGGCAATTGAAGATACCATTGTTTAATTTCAAGGGCAAAATCATCAATTTAATAAAATATAAACTAATTTGACAAAAATATATGTCAAAAAAATATTTTTAATTTTTTAAAAAATATTTCTATTCACTAAATATAAAATTATGTAAAATTGATCAAAATTAATAAAAATTACATAATTAATTTTTTAAAATTAATTTTACATGATCATCATCCAAACACAAAATAAAAATTAATTGGGTAAAATAAATAAATAAATGTCTAAAAGATTTATTAATTTTACATAATTTTATCTTTAGTGGGTAGAAATAATTTTTAAAAATTCAAAAATATTTGTTTGACATTTATTTTTGTCAAATTGTTTATATTTTATCAAATTGATAATTTTACCCTTGAAAAATCTAATGATATCTTCAATTGTCTTTATTTGGAACAAGATTTAAAATTTAGGGTCAAATGTATCACAATTGAAAAGTCAGGAACTAAAATGACACAAGCCCCAAACTGTAGGGACTATTAATGTAATTCACCCAATTAAAAATACAATGAACAAATTGACATAAAACGGACAAATTACAGGAATCATGAGTATAATTTGTCTTTCATAAAAGAAAATAACAAAATTCATTCTAAAAAATTTTGGGAATGAAATAAGAACAGACTTCTTGGATTCTACATACACAATAGTGTAGACAACACAACATTTATCTTGGCTACCCTATTTAAAATGAGAACACTTTTCTGAGAAAAGATCTTGTTTATGTAATAGTTTGTTTAAACAAATGTACTATATATGTAACATGTAAGTCGAAATAGTCATATTATTGACCTTTAAGAGAGTTATTTCTTTCTTGTTAACTCCTAGCTTACATTGAAGGTTTTTTTTTTTTTTTTTCCTTTTTAATTTTTTTATAAATAAAATAAAATGATCAACTGAATTTCTTATCATATGTTCGTATCATTAAATATAAATACATGTGAAACCTATTTTTTATTACTACCTAACAAATAAATAAAACCAATCAAAAAAATTAACTTTGTGTGTAACGTTTTGTAAATGTCTAAGCCCAAGAAAAAGAACGTAAAAACCCAAACTGAATATTTCAAAAAAAATGTTACTAACACAAATAAATCACACACATATTCTCAGTTGTTTATCGATGTAGATAATATGGGACCGATATACGTATGAGTGTTTTTATTCTATTCTATAATTTGTTATTGCGTTAGTAACAGTAGTGTTTTAGAATATTAGGTTTAAAGTTATTGTGACCAACATGTTAAAAAAAATCTCAAACTTCACAAATAAAAGATAAAAATACCTAACATAGTTGTTATGTCTACCGTTTTTTACGTAGGTACTTGCACCATGAAGTAACACCCCACATCATTCATAGAGACATAAAAGCGAGCAATGTGCTCTTGGATTCAAATTTCGAACCACTTGTAGCTGATTTTGGGTTCGCAAAGCTAATCCCAGATGGTGTTAGCCACATGACTACTCGTGTGAAGGGCACTTTGGGATATCTAGCACCAGAATACGCTATGTGGGGAAAAGTCTCTGAAAGTTGTGATGTGTATAGTTATGGGATTCTTTTACTTGAAATACTCACCGGTAGGAAGCCCATAGAAAAGCTTCCCGGTGGTATCAAGAGGACAATTACCGAATGGGCCGAGCCTTTGATACTCAAAGGAAGGTTCAAGGAACTTGTTGATCCAAAACTCCGAGGAAACTTCGATGAAAACCAATTGAAACAAGCAATCAATGTCGCTGCATTGTGCGTCCAAACTGAGTCTGAGAAAAGGCCTACCATGAAAGAAGTAGTTAGCCTTTTGAAAGGGTATGATGCCCCTAGAGGAAAGGCTATGCATAATAGGATTGAGAGTGTCAAGTATGGGGAAGACTTGATGACAAATCAAACTAGCGATGATGAAGATGGTGTTGCTTGTGATGAAAGTAGTGCTTATGGAGTGTTTGGTGCCATGGATGTGCAAAAGATGCAAGACCCTTATAAGCGATTTGGAGATAGAAGAGTGGCCAAACATGGTTAAGGTAGAGGTTATTTCTTACTCAAGATGTGTTGATATGAAAATCCACATTTTGTTTTTCCAGTAATAGGAAAATCAAGACTATGAGAAGGAATTGTCTTTTTCTTTTGTTTTTCCTCGTAGGAAATAGTAAGTATGAAGAAATTGTAATAAGCATTGTTTTTCTATTCTTTTTATTTGTTTATTTTAATGTAATATTGATTAACTTGAAAAAGTAGCTTCAAATCATCAAAGGGTTTGTCAACAATAATGAAAAATGGAGAAGATACAAGACATGAGTGGACGGAGATCCAAAAAACATGAATATTTTCAAATATGAAAATAGTCACAATGTTTTGAAACCTAGACAATTGATCAAATCCGAAAAGTGATCAGGTCACGGGTCATTGGTTTAACTGTCGGATGAACCGAAATTGAACTATGATGTCATAATTATTTAGTACATATATTAATAATTATTTTTAACAAAAAAAAATAAGAATTAAGATGCATTCATTCAAAAAAATTTATAGTTTAAGATATATGTAATTTATATAAATATTTTTACATTGATGTTATTTGTAAAAATATTAATTATAATAATAAATGAGAGAAAATATGTTGAACACAATAAATAACCTACATCCACCATTAATATCTGAAGAATGATTGATCTTTGAATATTATTTCATCACACACAGAAACATTTTACAGATCTGTATATATATATATATGAATGCTATAACAAACTCACTGAACAAACTCTAACTAACTAACCATATTATCTAACTAACTAACCATACAACTGCATTTTGCTGAATTGCTAATATAACAGTGGTGTGCCTTAATCAGCATCACAGTCCAATGCTGAGCTCTTGAAGTCCTCCTCTGCCTCTTGTATCTTATCAGCCCCCCGCAAGCTGAGGGGAGAAGGAAGGAGCATCAGCTTGTCTTTAAGATAATGAAATCGAGAACCAGACAAAGGTTTGGTAAACAGATCAGCTAATTGATCAGATGTAGGAACATACTTGAGAAGAATTTGTTTGGAAACAACACGCTCGCGAATGAAATGACAGTCTATTTCAATATGTTTAGACCGGGAATGAAAAACTGGATTTGAAGCAAGAGCCATAGCAGATAAGTTGTCACACCATAAAACGGGAATAGAAGAAGGAGGAACCAAAAAATCCTTAAGCAACTGCTGAAGCCAACTAACTTCAGCAGCAGTATTAGCTAAGGAACGGTATTCAGCCTCAGTGGAGGAACGAGAGACCGTAAGCTGCTTTTTAGCAGACCAAGAGATCAAATTTGGGCCTAAAAAGATACAGTACCCTGATGTAGAACATTTATCCAAAGTATCACCTGCCCAATTGGAGTCAGAAAATGCATGAAGAGTGAAAGGATCAGGAGTGAAACTCAAGCCATGAGAAACAGTGCCTTTAACATAACGGATGAGACGTTTAACATGTTGAAAATGGGCATTGGTAGGAGCATGCATATGTTGGCATGCTTGATTAAAAGCCAAAGATAAGTCGGGCCGAGTAATGGTAAGATATTGAAGACCTCCAACTAAACTGCGATATAAAGTAGGTTGAGCAAAAGGAAGAGCATCGGAAGGAGAGACAAAGGACTTCACAGCCAATGGTGTAGAACAAGGCTTGCAATCCACCATTCCAGCTTTAACAAGCAGATCAGTAGCATACTTTTGCTGACATAGCAAATAACCAGAATCTTGAGCAATGTCATTGATGCCCAGAAAATAGGATAAAGACCAAGTTCTTTCATAGAAAAGACTGAGTGCATCTGCTGAAGAAGCTGAGTAAGAATAGTAGAATCACTACTAGTCAAAAGTATGTCATCAACATACACAACCAGCAGAGTAAGGCTGGTGGGAGTCTGTTTGACAAACAAGGAAGTATCTGACAGGCTGTTATAAAACCCCTGCGAGAGAAAAAAAGCTGAGAAAGTGGAATACCAGGCCCGAGGAGCCTGTTTAAGGCCATAAAGAGCTTTCTTAAGTTTGCACACATGAGTAGGATAAGAAGGATCCACATATCCCTGAGGTTGAGTCATGAAAACTTCCTCTTCAAGTGAGCCATAGGGAAATGCATTTGAGATATCAAGCTGAGTAATGGGCCAGTTATTATGAAGAGCAATGCAAATAAAAATGCGAATAGTAAGCTGCTTAGCAACAGGACTGAAGGTCTCATGAAAGTCTATCCCCTCATGTTGCAAATAACCTTTAGCCACAAGTCGGGCCTTGTACCTGGCAATACCACCATCAGAATGTCGTTTAATGCGAAAAACCCATTTACAGCCAATTGCCAATTTAGAAGAAGGCAAGGGAACAAGAGTCCAGGTACCCTGAAGTTGAAGAGCATCAAACTCCTCTTGCATAGCTTTAATCCAGACAGCAAATTGAAGAGCTTCTTGGACAGTACGAGGTTCAGAAGTGAGAAGCTGAGTAGAAAGATCAGAAACAGATATAGCTTGAAAACACACAGGAAGGTTGGCCTTAGACCGTATGGTCATAGGATGGGAATTAAGGGAGACCGTAGAGATGGGAGCAGCAGACGGCTGGACAGTGGATATGAGAGCAGCAGATTGTTGTGATCTGGGAACAGTAGATGGCTGTGAAACAGGGGGAAGATCAATGGTAATAAAATTGATGGGAACAGAAGGAGGACAATTGGAAATATATGGAAAACTAGGAGAATGAGAAGCTGAATTTGGTGAGACGGAAGAAGTAGAGGGTGAAGACCAAAAGAAAGAAGGAATAGAAGAAGAAGAAGAACAAGAAAGAGATGAAGAAGAGGATAAGAAAAAGGAAAACATGACTCATTAAAGAGAACATGCCTGGAGATGTAGATTTTACCAGTAATAGGGTCAAGACACCTATATCCTTTGATAGTAGGATGATACCCAATGAAGACACAGGGAATGGACTGGGGTTGAAGTTTATGAGAGATATATGGCTTAAGCCAAGGAAAGCATTGACAACCAAAAACCTTACGCGAAGAGTAATCAGGCACAGAATGAAATAAAGCTTCAAATGGAGAAACATTTTTAAGAACAGAACTGGGTATACGATTAATAAGAAACACGGCCGTGGCAATTGCATCAAACCAGAAAGACAAAGGCAAAGATGAATGGTGAAGAAGAGCAACGGCAGTTTCAGTGACATGCCTGTGCTTTCTTTCGGCAACACCATTTTGGGCTTGGGTGTATGGACAACTGGTCTGATGAATGATACCTTGAGAAGACAAATAAGAATCCATTTGTTTATTCACAAACTCAGACCCATTATCTGTTCTCAGAATTTTGAGGGAAGTGGTAAACTGATTTTCAGCATATCTTTTGAAATCAAGAAATTTAGCATAAACTTCACTCTTGTAAAGTAAAGGATATATCCAAGTGAATCTAGTGTAATCATCAACAAACAAAACATAGAACCGAAATTTGGCATTCGTAGTAACAAAAGGGCCCCATACATCACTATGAACTAAAGAAAAAGGAGAATTCACAGAGGAATTTGAAAATTTGAAAGGCAATCTATGCATTTTGGACATATTACAATCAATGCAAGGCATAGGTTTATTGTTGCCAGAAAAAGAAACAAGTAAATGAGAAGCTACACTTTGAAATTTTTCATGAGAAATATGGCCTAGTCTTTTATGCCATAGTGGATCAGAAGTAGAAAAGCAGGATTGATAAGCATGTATGAATTAACTAAGAAAGCAAATAAAACTGGCATGCAAGCCAGGGACTGCCTTGCTTCTGGTAGATGATGCATGTCCGGATTGTCTTGCGTGGAAATCCACCGGAATGCCCCAATTAGCCTGAGAAGTCTGTGATGTTCTAGGTTGAAAATTTGGGTCCATACGGTACCAGCAGTCAAAAGCTGAATGACTGAGACCACCACAGATCTGACAGCCTTGAGAAGAGGCAGATCTACCCTTTATTTCGATTGTTGAACCTTCCTCGAGATTGCATATATCTGCCTCCTCTTCCTCTATTCCAGAATGAAAAAATTGAGAATTAAAACCAGAGTACGGATATTGTTGAGGAGATCCTTTAGCTGCTGTGTAGGCAACATTGAGATCATTACTGGTGTTGGAATCTTTCATCTTAGCCTCAATATGAATAGATTCGGAACATAACAATGAGCATAGCTCATCCATAGAAATAGCTTCAGATCTGGCTCGAATAGCAGTAGTGAATGCATCATATTCACTAGGAAGGCCATTCAAAGTCATTAATACCAAATCCTCATCATCAACCTGTGCAGAGGCTAGTGACAATTGATCTGAAATTTCTTTGATTTTGAAGAGATATTCTTCCATTGAAGAGGTTTTCTTTGAGACAGTTTGAAGCTTATTTTTTAGTTGATGGATATGTGATCTAGACAAAGATGTAAACCGTTTTTCAAGCGCTTTCCATACCTCAGCACTGTGTTGAAGATGGAGAATGGATGAATACACAGTAGGAGCTAGTGTAGCAGTCAAACAACTCAAGAGATGTGCATCAATTGTTTTCCACTTTGCATAATCTGGATTTGGAAGTGTTTTTCCAGATGAATCCATGATCTCTGAAGCAGGACATTGAATCAATCCTGTGACAAATCCTAAGAGATTCATAGCACGGAGCATGTTTTGCATTTGACTCTTCCATATCAAGAAATTTGTAGAATCAAGCTTGACAGTAACCAATGATCCAAAATTTGAGATGAGAAGATTAAGATTTGATGGTAAAGAAGATGAATCTGCCATTGATGAAACTTGCTCATTGGAGCTTTATTGCAGCTCTGATACCATGAAGAATGATTGATCTTTGAATATTATTTCATCACACACAGAAACATTTTACAGATCTGTATATATATATATGAATGCTATAACAAACTCACTGAACAAACTCTCCAACTAACTAACCATGTTATCTAACTAACTAACCATACAACTGCATTTTGCTGAATTGCTAATATAACAGTGGTGTGACTTAATCAGCATCACAGTCCAATGCTGAGCTCTTGAAGTCCTCCTCTGCCTCTTGTATCTTATCAAATGTGGAGAGTTAGTCTAGTAGAAATGCTGTGAATCTATGTGTGCGGAGTGCCAAGTTGGAACCCTCCCAGGAGTTGTTTTTTTTTATGCATTGGAAGTTCGACCAATTTGCTCCCCCAAGATGCAGTTAACTCGGTTTACCTGTGGATTTTACCCATTTTTTAGTTTTTTTGAACAGCAAAATAGAAGCTTTATTGATGAATTTAGCAAAGGATATGCCAAAATATATCAGCAGAGCAGACAAACTGCTAAATACATTAGGAAACGACCAAGATTGGTGAGAAACCAATCATACAGCTAACAAAAGAATAGACAAAGCACCAACTGAACAGAGCACCAAACTGGAACAAAACTGCAGTCTACACAGATTGACAGTTTCCAGACTATAACAAACCTTGTCTCACCCCTAAGATGTTATAAAGGAAATCTGAAATCGAAAAATGGAGCTTCTTAAAAGCAGCCTTAATCCATATAGCAAGCCTAATCAGAATCAGTTCTTGCAGCTCCTGCAGATTTGGGTGAGACTCATTAAAGCAGCAATCATTCATGTGTTTCCAGATTGACCAGAGTGTTACCAGAGGTATGGCGCACCAAATCCGTTGTTCAGCTTTCCTACAAAGGTATCCTGACCACTATTGCAGCAGACCAAGGACAGAGTCAGGGACAACCCAAGAAACACCCCACCACTGCAGTAGACCAGAACAGACTCTGCAAACAAATGGGTAGAGGATTAGAACATGCTTAATTGATTCCTGCGCTGAGATTTACAAAATATGCACAAAGTGGAGGCCGAACTAACCAATACTCCAATCCGTTGCAAGAATACAGTAGTTTTGATCTTGTGCTTCCATGCGAGCCAACCGAAGAATTACACCTTAGGAGGAAGAAACTTAATCCACACCAGACGACTGGAACTAACAATACCTCCAGAGGCACTGCTGGTTTGATTGTATATGTTAGACACAAAAGATTGCCTTGACTTGGCTGCTCTCCAAACTACACTGTCCTGAGACTCCAGTTGAAAGGAGGGAACTGAACCTACGATGCCATATAGCCTGACCAATTCATTCTTTTCCCAAACAAAGAGAGGCCTCCTGAATGTGAACAACCAATTCTTAGTTATACCAGAAACTTCCACAAAGTCCTTTAGCAGACCTTTCTTTTGTGAAGATAAACTGAAGAGCCGAGGGAACTCATCTTTTAGGCAAATATTTCCACACCAAGAATCGAACCAGAAGCTTATACGAGAGCCATTGCCCACCTTTAACTGGAGATTACTAGCATAGGAAAGTGAAAGAGCCTGGTTTTGTTCACCTGCTGCCACTATGCCATTCCAGATATAAGAGGATGAGGTGTTTAAACTTGGGTTTGGAATCCATTTCCCACCAAGGAACCGATATTTACTACATAAAACCCTATACCAGAGTGACATTGGTTCAGAAGCAAATCTCCACCACAATTTTAAGAGTAGACACACATTCACATCTTTGATTCTTCTAACCCCCAAACCACCTTGCTTTATGCTCTTAGTAACCTCTGACCATTTCACTAAATGGATTTTATGCTTCATGGCCTCCCCCCCCCCAAATAAAAATAAGGCTTGAATTTTGTCTAACTCCTTGGCAATTCCCTCGGGAAGCTTAAATAATGATGAGTAGTACACGGGTATACTTGATAACACTGCTTTCATCAAGGTTAATCGACCTGCATAAGATAATAGCTTCCTTTTCGAACCAGCTAGCCTTAGTTTTACCTTATCAACCACTGGTTTCCAAGTTTTCTTTCTTCTAGGATTTGCATCCAAGGGCAGACCTAGATACTTGATTGGTAAATTGTGGGTTTCGCAGATCAAAAGGGAAGCAAACTCAGCAAAGGCAGATCCAGAGATGCCAATCCCACAAACCACACTTTTATGAAATGGGTTTACGTGTATACTTGAATCAATCGAACTAGTCACTCCGGTTTTAAAACCATTGAGAATATAAATAACTATTTTTTAGATTATATATTTTTAAAACAAAGGCCATGTCCGAAAATGTGAATCCAATGTATTCTTTTGGATCTAAATATATACCTAGCATTCTTTTTAATAATACTCACTAAGGAACGAGAATTAGAGCTTGTTTGGCTTAACTTCTTAAAACTAGAAGTCCTTCATCTAGATGGGCTTATGCGGCATAGGACTTTAAAAGTAAGGTCTTTTAAAAGTAGAGCTTCTTCTTTCTTTATTTCTTCTTTTTTTTTTTTAATTTTTAATTTTATTTATTTTCATCATTTTGTATCACTAGATTACTTTGTACGATATTATTTACATTATTTCCTATCTTTTCCTTGGGCCAAGCTTTTATAAGTTCGGGACACAGTAATTTTTCAACTGTCAACTACCTTATATCTCTTGGAAGGATCTTTTCTCTATGTTTTAAAAAGTAGTACTATCCAAGCGAATAAGAATTCTCCCCAATTAAATAAACCAATCAACAATATACGAGGTTATATAAAAGAGTGACAGTAAATCAGTAATCCATCTAAAAAAAAAGGGTAAAAATTTATCATTTCTATAATTAATTGCTTACCAACAATTGAACTAAATTCATGCCTCCAATAACCATCTTTATTATTGATTTTATGGCTTTGTGGATAAAAATAAAATAAAATAAAAAGAAGCTATAAATAAATAAATAAGACAAAAAATTATTCAAAAAATTAAAAAATCACAAAAAATATAAATAAATCATACACATCAGTTGTTCAAGTTGTTGAATTGGCTACAGATTCTGGAGGTCACCCCATGTGAAAGGGGTGATCCTCATGTCAACAATGGAAGGCCACCAACCTCATGTCAACAATGGAAGGCCACCAACCATGTCAAAAGTCAAAGAATGAGGGCTCTCCCACCTACTCCTTTGTGTATAAATAGAGACGGGAGGGAGAGGATATAGATATCAGATGTGGAGCTGAGAGGTGTGAGTTGAGAGCAAAGAGAGAGAGAATTACAGAGAGTGTTGTAATTCACCATTTTGTTCAATATAGTGAATCCGCTGCCCGTGGACGTAGGCGACTTGCCGAACCACGTTAAAACTTGTGTGTTATTGCTTGTTTGAGTTCCCTGGTGTGCCCCCGATCCTCAACACAAGTTGTTAACTATAATTATATATTCTTGTAGAAAATTATTTAGTTTTTTAGTCAAAATTTGTTATGCTTACATGGATGTCTCATTTTATGATTGGTTTATGTGTTAATAGACTTTTACAATAATTACACATAATTCTCATGAAAGCAATAACCATCTTTGTAATTGATTTAATTTAACCACAATGTTGACAAATATTAATCCATGCCATTGGCACAATGATGCATTTTAATATAAATATGTATTCATGTAGAAAACTGTTCAACATTTTTAGGCAAAATTTGTCTATGCTTGCATGGATGGTTAATATGCCAATGTTGTCAAGGCATGACTATATGGAGAATCTCTCTCTCTCTCTCTCTCTCTCTCTCTCTCTCTCTCTCTCTCTCTCTCTTATCCCAAAGAAAAGTGCAAAAAGGGTTTAGTGTCTTCTCAAAGTTTCATTCATGATAAGGGATGGACTCTTTTGAGTAACAAATACCCCCCTCTTCCTACCAACACTACAAAGAATTACTTTTCATAACAAGATTGAGGTCCTTCCTTTGGCTTACAAAACAAGACAAATCAAATACAGGTGTTTCACACCTTTGCTTACACCCCAAAGCACCCAACCTAAACACTTAATTGTAGTCCCAAAACACATCACTTTTTGGAGAGAGAGAGAGAGAGAGTGAGAGAGACTAATCAGTTGTTCACTTGCAATAGTAAAAGCCATTTTATGCTTCTTAAACAAGAATATTTGAATGTCAGCCAAAGTGGCCTGACGCCTCAATCATTCCCTTGCTCCTCTACATATATTCTTTAAGCTGAGTTTCTTTGCCTCCATTGCTTACAACAATCAGAAAAATAAGAAAAACAAAAACCATTTTTTCACCCTCGGATTTTAATTTTGCTACCAAAATCATACTAAGGAATGGCACTTGTAGCCCCTGCCAAAATACTCATAGGCATCTCTTTGAATCAAGATGATAGCAAAGAGCTTCTCTCATGGGCAATCAACACACTAGCTCATCCAAATGACACCGTTGTCGCGCTACATGTTCTTGGTCAGCATTTTCTACCCAATTTTTACCAATCAACTTATTAATTTTTCATTCCAATCTTATACTAGATTAAAAAAAAAAAATTATAATAGTAATTCAACAATATTACATTACCCATGTTTTATTTCTTCCTTTTTTTTTTTTTTTTGAGAAATTTAACTGCATTGTTCTAGTTTATAAGATTTGAGACCTTGCAATGTATTATAATTCCTTTAGCAGTGACTCACATTTTAGTATTGGTAGAACAGTAGAGGATAAGAGGAAGAAGTACGAGTCGATTGTGAATAGTCGAACACAGTATCGTCGCGCAAAAGCCTTTGTTATATCTGTGATGGGTGAATTTGCAAGAATCTGTCAGTGTAAGCAGGTATTTATCATTGTCCATACCACAATTTCATAAAATTCAGTTCCCTTTTTATTTACCGAAAAAAAAATAAAAAAAGCTGCCATTGTTCAATAAAATTGGGCAATTTCAGGTGAACTTGGAGGCTAGAGTTGGGTTCAGCTCCAGTATTGGAAGAGGTTTAATTGAGGAAGCAAAAACCATGTCAGCAGAGTTTCTTCTCATTGGTTGCTCGAGAAACAGATCCAATAGGTGAGAAAAAATTGCATAGTAACATAACATTTGATGAACAATAGCTATCATGAATGATTTGTATCGTGTTTTTCTTATAGAATTTCACGCGAAAACATGAGGCATTGTTTTGAGCATGCCCCGGAAGGCTGTTCAGTGGTCTCACTTGGGAAACATGTCCTCTCGCGACAAAATTCAGATTCAAATTTTGAGCAAAATGAAGGTCTGTCCACACTAATACTCTTTTTTTGGGGGGAATTTTTTTCTTCTATTGGGCGCGTTCTAATCTTTTAAATGTCTCCTCAGTCGAAAACCATAGACACTTGGAAGCTAAGAGCGAAAAGGCTTCTCCAAGAGCAGTGATAGACCTAAGCGATGGAGAATCGAACAACACAGAAGAAGACAGCTCAAGTACCGGGGATTCGAGCATGACAGAGTCCCCTCCTCTGTCTCTTGGGTTGAAAAATGAATTAAGTTTTCGAAAACCATTATCGCCATTTCAACGCATTTCCTCTTTCCTCCGCTCATCGTTTGATTTCAATGGAAAAAATAGAAATGAAGTAACTTCCAATAAAGAAAAGCAGCAACCTCTATTGAGGTGCTTTAGCTATGAAGAGATTGCAAATGCCACAAATAATTTTCACCCAGGTACAAACAATCACATAGATAAATGTTACCAATGTGCTATTGTAATTCAATCAATAATATAAATAAAAAATAATTTTTTTTTGATTTATTTTGTAGATAATGTGGTAGGTCGAGGAGGGTATTCGGAGGTGTACAGAGGCGACCTTGGCGATGGACATACCATAGCAGTAAAGAGGCTAGCGAAAAACAATACCAATGAAAACAAGGAAAAAGAGTTCCTCATGGAATTAGGTGTAATAGGACATGTCAACCATCCTAATACCGCGACCTTAGTTGGATGTTGCATTGAAAATGGACTCCACTTGATCTTCCACTTCTCTCCAAATGGAACTTTAGCTTCTGCATTACATGGTATGAAAATGGGGGGGAGGGGGTGAATTTAAAAATCGGGGCTTTTGAACTATTCTTAAGAGCAATGCTTGATGTTGATGGCAAAAATTTGTGTGTTTGTTTCTCAGGAAACTTGGACAAGTCACTTGAATGGCCGGTTAGATATAAAATAGCAGTTGGGATTGCAAGGGGTTTGCATTATCTTCACAAGTGCTGCAAACACCGGATAATACACCGTGACATAAAAGCCTCTAATGTGCTTCTAGGGGCAGATTATGAACCACAGGTGAACAACAAAACAACAATTTCAAGGGTTTTTTTATTTTTATTTTTATTTTTTATTTACAACAAAGTTTGATATATTTGAATTGAGTGGAGTTTCATAATCTGCATAGATTTCGGATTTTGGACTTGCGAAATGGCTGCCTAATAAATGGACTCACCACGCTGTGATTCCAATCGAGGGAACATTTGGATACTTGGCGCCAGAGTACTTCATGCATGGAATTGTAGATGAGAAAATCGATGTTTTTGCATTTGGAGTTCTTCTTCTTGAGATCATTACTGGCCGGAGACCAGTTGACTCATCGAAGCAAAACCTTCTCTTATGGGTAATTAAGCACTTCCTCTGTAATGTAATTGAACAATTTCTTTTATTTTCTTTTTTTCTTTTTTTCTTTTTTTTTTTGTTCCTATTTATAAAATTGATTGGGTTCATCAATTTGTAGGCAAAGCCACTAATGGAATCTGGTAACATCACTGAGTTAGTTGATCCAAAATTGAAAAATAAATATGACTCAGATCAAATTCGTAGGTTAGTACTCACTGCTTCCTACTGTATAAGGCAATCCTCGATATGGCGACCATCGATGAGTGAGGTATACAAAACTATTTCTTAGTCACATTTGATATGTTCAATTTGTTTGAACTTTTAGACACTTTTTTTGGTTTTTTTGTTTTGCAGGTATTAGAACTACTAACATATGGTAATGATTCTAAGGATGCAAGGAGTTGGAGGATGCCAAAGCACAAATCTGAGGAGATAGATGATTACTCTATGATTTTTGGATATGACCTTCCATCAGATTTTAGTTTGGAGGAGATGCAGTGAGCTCGAAGACCCATTTCTCTTCTCTTTTCTCTGTTTAGTAGTTGTGCAGGCTTTTTGTGATAAGAGGTAGATATGGTTAACTCATTGTAGTCAACTTGTTGGTTTGCTTCCCTCTAGAGTTGCTTTGCCATAGAATGGATAATTTGCCCATAAAATTATATCCCAATGCACTTTCAGTCACATGATATGACAAGAATCTTAAGACATGATTATACGATTGAAATGCATTAGGAATGCGAGATAGAGGTTTTCAAGAGATTATTTGTCTTCAAATTTCTGTTCCTTGTCCCAATGCACTTTCAACCGCATGATATGACAGGAATCTCAGAATAATAGAATTTTAAGGCATAATCATGCAATTGGAGTGTATTAGGGATGAGAGGCATGAATTTTGGAAGCAGAACATCCCATACTCTAATTTTATATAATGGGATTTTTATTTTATTATTATTATTATTATTATTCCTCTATGTATTTTGGAAGTGTTTCATTATTGAACTTTTGTGGACAAAACATGGGTTGTTTTCAATATCTCGACATATAGATTTGCCATATCCTTTAAATAACTCAAAATGCAAAAGATTTTTTTTCAAGCAAAAAACAGCATGGTGAGGCCCCAACAAACAATATGTCACGCTCTAAAGATTATCTTGCCCCATGCCAAATTTAATCAATGGGTTCTTTGAGAGAGAGACTTGAAGTTCCCAAAATTGCAGTGATTGCCCTTTTGGATGGAAAGGGAAAAGTGAAGAAGCAATATAATTGCTAATTAACCAAATGAAAACAACTTAAATTATACTTCTAACAACTAATTGCTTTGAAAATAATTTGATGATGCGTATAGGCTTAATACACCAATACCAATTGCTCATGTTTGTTTTGCACTGATTGATTGGGATTAAATGTATGAACTTTCGTAAAGTCCTCATTACATCAAAATGCTTTCTTCTTTTTTTTTTCTTTTTCTTTTTTAGTTATTTATGTACAGTAGGAGCAAATCGTCTCTAATACATTCCATGCTGCACTCTGTGGTGAAAATTTCAAAATATAAGAATTTCGTGGCATGATCGTATGGTTGGAATGCTTTAGGAATGGGAATAGAAATTTTTAGAATAAGAAAATCTCGTGTACTAATTCTATATGTTGGGATAATATGATTTTTTTTATTATTATTATTATTATTTCCTATTTGTCTTTTAGAATTGTTCCAGTATTGAACTTTTAGCATGGGTTGTCAAAATCTTGAGATGCATACAGATTTTCCAAACCCTTCACATAACTCAAATGCAAAAGATTTTTTCAAGAAAAGTTTAAAGAACTGCGTGGTGAGGCCCCAAAAAACAATAAAATTGTCAATTTTTGAATATCAGCAATGTTAGGTATCATGAAAAACATTTCCTGAAAATAATCATGAAAGCTTTGTGACCCTTAAATTACACTTAGAATAAAGCACAACACACTAACTAAGATAATCTAAGAATTATAAATCTTTCATGATTATTTTTATGAAAAAAATTCTATGACTTCTAACTTTTCTCTTTAAAGATAATGTTTTGGTTCCTCTTTGCCCATTTCCAAATTTAATCAATGGGGGCTCACAGTGGTACCCACAGACACCTTGAAAGCAATTATGTTTTTTTATATTTTTTTTTCCATAATACCAAAAAAAAAAAGGTCCATTAAAAAAATCCATTTTTAGAAAATATAAAAAAGTTATTCTGTGGACTAAACCATTGATGTTTTTAAATTTTTTATTATTATTATTTTTTTTTTCAAAAATACAAAACGAAGGAAACAAAAACAAACCAAATAGGCTTTAGGTTTCAAGAATTGCAGTGACTATGATTTGTTTTGAAGAGCAAGCAACATAGTCCTCTAATCTAATTGCTAATTAATCAAATCAAAAACAACTTTACTATTGATGAGATCAGATCGAAAAATAAGTCGCTAAGGTTCAATCCAAAAAGTCTTAAGTTTGAGTCTTAATATTTTATTTCACTTTCACACATAATCAATCAAATTTGTGTTTGTGAAATGATTCTAAAAAATCATGTCTATGAAAAATTCTCGCTTATTAAAAAAAGTTAGCAGCAGATCACACATAACCAATCAAATTTGTATTTGTGAAATGATTTTTAAAAACCTTGTTTAGAATAAGTTATCGCTTATTAAAAAAAAATGTTGTTAACAACTGATTGCTTCAAAAATGCTACACTCATGTTGAAGGTTTGAACCAAAATTTTCCTTCTGGAGTGTGACATGTATAAAAATATATCATGACGTATGAGCTTAGGATTAATTTGAGTTAGCAAAATTTCATTTTTCATGATATAATATGAATCCTATGATAACATGTTAATAAGGGTTTCTTTGGAAACCAACATGTAAGTTTAATGACATGTTTTGAGGATAAAATCTAAAACTTTGAATCAAAAAAAAAAAAATCTAAAACTAAGAGTATGTGAGAAAGTAGAAAAGGACCACTTTTGGACAGTTGATGGGCATATGGGCCAGTGATGCACGTGAAGGAGATGAGGATTTCAACCCAACAAATAACTGAGCCCACTGTGACTATCACTGCTTCTCCATGTGCACCACCAACATCTTCACTCTCTCTCTCTCTCTAAAACCAAAAATATGCACACAAAAACAACAGCTAAGTTCCTTTCACATAGAGTTCAAAAAAAAAAAAAAAAAAAAAAAAGTTACTTTCACATACAAGAAAAAGAATCTTCACTTTCATGGATGGATCTTTTGATCGAAGAATAATGACATATAGTTAGAAACACATGTTTTATCAGATTTTAGACTTTTATTTTTAGCATTAGACACAAAGTAGTGTCTATATAAATATATGTGATTTGTGGTGGATATGTGTAGTGGTAAGATAATCTCGGAAGTAATTTTTAATGATTTGGGATTGACAATTTTATAAATAATTGTGGAGATATATTTTCTGAGTACCAACACGTGGTCAAGGTGACGCCGACGTGTCAGTCGAGGTGCCACGTGTCCTGGTTGTTATGCCGAGGTCATCTCGGATAGGCCGAGGTTACCTCTGAAGATATCAGAATCCGAAATAAGCGGATGAAGGGCAAGAGTTCTAGAATGAGAGAAGATTTCAGTTTGTATTAAGATAAGACTCTTAGAGAGTTTATCCTAATCTTACTGAGAGTCCAAGATTAGCAGTAATCCTGAGTCCATAGAAGTTAGACTTCTATTGGGACTAGATTTATGTTAGCTATAAAAGAGAGGCACCCCCATGGGTCTAAGGTATGCTTTTGATATTCTGTCTAATGAGTTAAGCACTATTGGTTATCTTTGAGAGATATTGAGTACTGACTTGATCGTCGGAGTGTCCCCGGGTGGACGAACAACCGTAGGAATCTTCTCTTTCTGTTGCAGGTCAGCCAGGTGTCATCTATTCTGCCGGTGCTCTCCAGGTGGTTACTAAGCGGGCAGTGTGATTAGAAAATCACTCACACAATTTGGCGCCGTCTGTGGGAAAGAAAGAAGAATAGATGGCCAATGAAAGAAAAAAGAATAGATGGCCAATGACGGACAGAAGGATCAGATTGGAGACAGCGCTCCTGCTGGGAGTGGGAGACCTATCAACCTCGACGTTGAAGGGGACAACCGCAACACAGAAACTCGTGACCAGAGTCACGGAGTGAAAGACGCTGACCAGAAAGGTGACGCACCAAAGACAACAGATCAAAGCGGATACTACAATGAAGATGACCCCCAGGTATGGAAGGATAGATACCTGCGGAGGAACGAAGACCCTTTTAGAAGGGAAGCAAAGACAGGGGGCATGAGCGCTCCCAAAGAGATAACATTCAAGTATAGAAGAACTCATCCTAAGTGTGCAGATCCCGGATTCCAGATCCTGGATCCCGGATCCTAGAAGACATGATCTCGGCCTAGATGAGTACGTCCGAGAAGAGAGCTCAACCTGAGTGAGCAGATCCAAGATTCTAGCAGAGAAGATCTCGGCACTTAAGTCCGAGAAGAGAAGAGCTCAGTGAGCAGATCTCAGATCCCAGAAGATAAAAAAAGAAAACACACAAAGTTAGACTGCAGTTAGCCACGTTGAAGACCTTTTATAAGGTTCACAAAGGAGTTTGTGGAAGCCATGCAGAGGGCAGAGAGAAGAAGAATATGTTTACCACTTGTTGAAATTTGCAACAATTTACAAGTTGGTTAAACCGATATGATGTTTACCACTTGTTGAAATTTGTAGCAATTTACAAGTTGGTTAAAACAATATGATGCTTAACCGAAGTTAAGACGAGATGATACTTAACCGAAGTTAAGCTGAAATAATGCTTAACCAAAGTTAAGCCCAGATGATGTTTAACCGAAGTTAAACCGAGACGATGCTTAACCGAAGTTAAGCCGAGATGATGCTTAACCGAAGCTAAGACGAGATGATGCTTAACCGAAGTTAAGCCAAGATGATGCTTAACCGAAGTTAAGCCCAGATAAAGTTTAACCAAAGTTAAACCGAGACGATGCTTAACCGAAGTTAAGCCGAGATGATGCTTAACCGAAGCTAAGACGAGATGATGCTTAACCGAAGTTAAGCCAAGATGATGCTTAACCGAAGTTAAGCCCAGATAAAGTTTAACCAAAGTTAAACCGAGACGATGCTTAACCGAAGTTAAGCCGAGATGATGCTTAAAAAAAGAAAAAAAAAAAGTTACTTTCACATACAAGAAAAAGAATCTTCACTTTCATGGATGGATCTTTTGATCGAAGAATAATGACATATAGTTAGAAACACATGTTTTATCAGATTTTAGACTTTTATTTTTAGCATTAGACACAAAGTAGTGTCTATATAAATATATGTGATTTGTTTTGGATATGTGTAGTGGTAAGATAATCTCGGAAGTAATTTGTAATGATTTGGGATTGACAATTTTATAAATAATTGTGGGGATATATTTTCTGAGTATTAACACGTGGCCAAGGTGACGCCGATGTGTCAGCCGAGGTGCCACGTGTCTTGGTTGTTATGCCGAGGTCATCTCGGATAAGCCGAGGTTACCTCCAAAGATATCGGAATCCGAAATAAGCGGATGAAGGGCAAGAGTCCTAGAATGAGAGAAGACTTCAGTTTGTATTAAGATAAGACTCTTAGAGAGTTTATCCTAATCTTACTAAGAGTCCAAGATTAGCAGTAATCCTGAGTCCATAGAAGTTAGGCTTCTATTGGGACTAGATTTATGTTGGCTATAAAAGAGAGGCACCCCCATGGGTTTAAGGTATGCTTTTGATATTCTGTCTAATGAGTTAAGCACTATTGGTTATCTTTGAGAGATATTGAGTATTGACTTGATCGTCGGAGTGTCCCCGGGTGGACGAACCACCGCCGGAATCGTCTCTTTCTGTTGCAGGTCAACCAGGTGTCATCTATTCTGCCGGTGCTCTCCAGCTGGTTACTAAGCGAGCAGTGTGGTCAGAAAATCACTCACACAATTTGGAGCCGTTTGTGGGAAAGAAAGAAG